CCCTGGACAAGCCACCTGCAGCCCTGCCCTGCTCCCCACTGGGGCCCTGTGGCCATGAATTGCGGCCCTGGGCCCCAAAGCCCACACACTGCCCAGCAGGGCAGCAGCCCCAGCCCTGCCCAACTCCCTCCTTCCCTACGAGGGACTTGATCTCCCCTCACTTACTTGCAGGAGCTGCTCTCCAGGCCACTTAGTGTACATGTGTATATACATGCACATGGTGCTTCCTTCCTGACCGCCCTGCTCCTACTCCCTCCTAGCCCCCTGTGGCGAGAACTCTGCCAGCCTGCAAAGGACTTGCTGCAAAACTGCAAAATCCATAGGTTTCTCTGCTAAAATGAAAAATCCACATTTTACTCAGGTAAAGGGGGAAATCCATGTTTTTTTCTCCTTTTCCATGGGAAATGGAAAACCCAGATCCCTGGTGATGGCATGTATGACATTGGCAGAATTGCAAGTGAATGAACCTTGGATGCTATAATCTGTGTTATTTGGATCAAACGAGAATATTACTACTGCCTCTTGGGAGCCCAGCTTTTGTGTTTTTTGAGATCTGTGGTGGTTTTCTTTCATCTGTGGTGTCTTTTAAATAGCTGGCAGCTCTAGTGGCATATAGAAATAGGATAGAATCCATGCAGTCAGAAACTCCCTCCAGGATGGTGCCAATTCCAAAAATAGTGTGGTGTCTTGGGATTGCCAGGCCTGTGGATCTTGGCTATAAAGTAAAAGTTGTCCTGTGTGAGTTCTTGGGAGGTGGAAGCAGTAATCCTCTCCATATAATCTAAATAATGTGGATTATAACATCTGAGGTTCATTCACTTGCAATTCCCCAGTGTTGTATTCACAATTACCTGCTCACAGTGTCCCTCTGCTAGCTACACTGGACAGATGGGGCAATCCGTACATGACAGAATGAAGGAACACAAACCTGACATCAGCTCACAAAAGCTTATGCTATAGATAAATTGATTGATCAATATATCTGTATATATTTTATATATCTACTTTGGTTATAAGGTGCAAATCTATCCTCCCTTCTATTTGGCTTCAGACCAGCGCAGCCAGCTATGTCTGTCTTGTGAGTAGAACCAGAGTGTTAAAGGTTTAATCCTAACTGTGGATTCTCTGCTCTTTTGTGGATTTTTCTTAGACTTTTAACACTATTTTGGAGGGACTCTTCTTGAATCACTTGCATTCCATACCATTTATTCCCCAGCAAGCCATCTGCAAAGGCCTGTACATCAAGGCAATAGTCCTTCTCCAGCAACTGCTGCACATAATTTCCTTCAGAGCCCACCAATTCCATACGGCAGCAAAAAATGCTTGCTCAAGGCCAACAGATGGTGCTCTGTTCATAGGCTGTGTGAGATCTGTGCAGCATCCTCAATCCTATACTGGTACTGGGAGGAGTGGACCCAACAGGTTGCTGTATGGTAGAGCAATGCATTGCCATTAAACCACCAACCTACTGCATTCCCCATTATTAAATATTTAATTTGTTAAGTTAATGTCTTGGGTTTTGTTTTAAATTAGTTATAGAATATTTCAGAGGGGTTAACGTAAACACTATAATTCTGAAAATGAAGAATGTCCATAATTTAACTTAATCTTTTTAGAAACCATCAGTGTGCAATTATGTTTTAAAAGGGTAATTATCATTTATGAAGGTTCCTTATAGAATATGAAAGCAACATATACCAATGTATTAAGGATGTTATGACATATCATTGCCAATGTTATCTATAATAAAACCACTTAATCCACATTGTAAAATGCAATTACTTAGGAAATCTTTCTTTTTTAATTAGTTTTTAATGGGTTGTGAGACATGCGCACAAAAAAATTGCATTAAAAATGAGGATTATTTTAGAGTAAATTCTCCTCTGCAATTCTTAGCACAGGTCTCAGCTGTGCTCTGCATTTGTCCTATATACAGAACTCTTGGTGTCATCAGTGAAAAATGCATCTGCAAAAGTACAGATTATGCAAATGAGAAATACATAGACCTTGAGTGACACTTGAGCATGAAGCACATTTATTTTATTTTAGAATTACAGACTCCAGAAAGCAGAGAGTAGTTAGATGTGGTAGTCTAAAGTCAGGCAAAAGGTGAGGGAGATGCACCTTACAGACTAACTAAATCAGAGATTCATAAGCTTTTCTTAGCTAGAGCTCATGTTTCTACAGTTCAGTTAGAAGAAGTCTCTATTTGGTTGGGTTTCTTTTAAGGAAGATAAGTCATTTGAGAGTGGTATAATTGTTGGCGCAGCTTATGGGCCAGTGATTCAGTTCTTGCTCGATATCTTCTTGCCTGAAAGGTTAATTGAAATTGTTTGCTGTTGGTATTGGAGTTAGGCACCATCCTGTATAGCAACATTTCTCAACCCAAGGGTTGCGACCCAAAAGTGGGTTCCAAGAAGATTTAGAAGGGTTGTGAAGGAAATGCAGCAAGGCTGCATGGAGCCAGCATGCAGCAGTGGGGGGTGGCACACAGTGGGGGGAGCATGGGGAGCACACAGCAAGGCAGTGTAAAGCAGTGGGCCAGATGCAGGAGCTGGAAGAGAAAGAGGAAGAGAGAGGAGGAGAGAGGGAGACACTCAGTGAGTCTAGGACTGGGAGGATGTGGGTCGTGGCAAGCTGATAGTTACGCTAATGGGTCCCAGTGTGAAAAAGGTTGAGAACCACTGCTGTATAGTGTGTCCTCCAGGCTTTACTTTAGATTGACTTTTATTAGTAAATGTTTAGGATTGGGAATCC